GATTTCGTGTGGTCCCGGCGAGCCTGTCGCAGCTGAAGCGTTGAATTAGACTGGCTGGCTGAATCGATAAATAAAAGAAAGCGTTAGTGAACAAAATTCAAATGGATCGACGAACAGGTGGGTGCAGAGATATTTCTAGCTGTGGTGAGTTCGTGGTCGACGACGATATTCCGCTGAAAATAATCGACGCGCGTCTGTGTACGCGGGTGTGCGTTCTGTTTGCGTGTCGCAGGATGCGTCGAACGCAGGACGATTGTACCGGTAACGGTACGGGAAACACGGAGTAGCGCATAGTGACGAAGAGAATGAACAAGATCGTGGACGAATTGGATCACCGTGTTCACCGTCTCCTGCCATATTCACCGACGATCCTCCGGTAGTGAATGATGCGTGAGTATCTCGGAAATAGTCGCGAGCCGATTACTACGTTCCTGTTCGTTTTTTCCCGCCCGTTACTTCGCCGGACGAATATGTGTGTGATAGAGTGGCAAAACAGGTTCAGTGAATACGGCAGTAGTGTTTTTGCGGTAACGTGGTGTATTCGACAAAACCAACGACAATATACAATCAAGTCTCCGCTCGTCGCCGAGCACCGTAACGGCTCCATCAAAAATTCGGTTTGCCAGTCACGCGTGTAACAATCATTCGTTGCCTCGGTGTGACGTTCCTCTATAAATCAACAATCTAGCTTGCCGATCCGAACCGTCGGGACACCGGACCGCGATCGCGCGGATACAACTGCTGCAAGAAACCATGCGAATGTAAATGCTCTCGGTAGTCACAAGGAACAGCACAAGATTCTACGACAATCAATCGATCCTTCACAAACAGGGGGATTTTCCAAAGTAAAAAGAATAGGGTTCCATGGATCTCTCGCAGAAACTAAAACCGATCGCTAGACTGCGAGTGTTGATACAAAAAGCAGTGTTAAACTGCAATTTAGAGTACAAAACAAGAGAATACTTTGCTTTGTATTCCCAATTCGAAACCTTCTCTATTTCCCAATTACACTTTCAACCCTTCGCAAACGAAGATTCTTATAAACCTTCAGATGAATCTAAATTATACAATTGCTCAAGCAACAGAAAAAATGAAACTACATAATCTTTGCTCGAGTAACTAACCCTTTGCACTCGGAAGGCACTCGATTTGACGCGTAAAACTATACAACCGGATATTTAACACTAGGTTTACGGAACGCGTCAATTTGACGCAGATTTTTGGTAAATGTTTCAATCGGTTTTCGTTGAACCAATTACACGAATACGAATCCTGATTGTCTATTTCTACAATTTCCAAAATCTAAATGAACGAATATCAACTTCTCCAGGAACAATAGAATGAACTGTACAATACCCATAAACCTAGTGTTAACGAACTTTGTACAATGCCTTGACACGTGAAATATTAGAATAAAATATCTTCGTTCCTCAATGTACTCAATTTCCCTTCGAGTTGATTTAGAATAGAATATCACCACCAAAAAATGTGAAATATTTTCAGAAACTTCCCAGTGCAAAGGGTTAAATCATAGTTTCATCCCGTTGAGACGTCGACATTCGTCTGCGAAGGGTTTCAGATTCGAAGTGAATTTATTCGCAGTCTACCGATCGCGGATCGTAGATCTGGTTCCCGTCGGTTCCGATCGAGCGCCTCGAATCCCTTCGATCCTTCGTAGGACAGGCTCGAGGATGCGCGCGGTAGCTAAGGCCGACCAGTCGTCCTGGAAGAAAGTACACGGAAGGGGATGAAAGCCTCAGGCGAGAACGCATCCTACCTGAGTCTTGCGGTTCCGCCTGGGCGGCGGGATCGGGGGCGGGTTCGACAAGTTCTCCCCCTTCGGCGGCAGCGGCGGCCGCGTTTTCGTCGCGAGATCCGTCAGGATCCTCCTTCGCACGTGGTGCTTCCGCTTCGGGTGCTTGTGGTTCATGTCGTCGCAGGCCTCGCAGTAGTTCCCCTTGCAGGTGTCGCAGCGGGCGAACACGTTCTCCGTGCCGCACAGCGCGCACTTGTTCGCGTTCGCGGCCGGCGCTGAGGACTTCTGGCTGTGGGTCTGGGTTTGCGGTCGGGTCGGGAATTCGATGATCTCGTAGTCCGGGTCACCACAGTCCCCGGAGAGCGACGGTGGTGGTATCTTCGGCGGGCTCGGCGGTCGTCGTTGCTTCTGTTGCTCCGCTTCCTTCTGTTGTTGAGCCTTCGAAGCAGTTTCGGTGAGATGTTGCTTTTGGTACTCGGTGTTTGGTCAGTGGAAGTTAGCAATGAAGGTGTAGATGTTTAGTTAAGTAGATTTGGAGTAGTGTCTTTGAGACTAGCTCGGATTTGTATTAGATTTGATGATGATTTTTGTTAGATTAGCTTTGGCGAGTGAGTGATAGTTCTGAATGTTTAACCCCTTGGCTGAGTTATATTTAATGTATAACTAATGTAATTGTTGAATTAGAATTCAGTGAGGTATAGTCTAACTTTGCTGCAACTATTGTCAACATTTTACGAGCGCCTAGGTGGCAACAGTCTGCCAAAGATCAATTTTTCATGGTAGCCAAGGGGTTAAGGATATTAATTATCTCGATCCATGTTTCAGCTAGTTCCTCAACCTTGTTAGCGAATGATTAGCAGCGGTATAGTCTCGTAGACTGTGTTCATAACGTAAGTGACACGTACCATTACCCAGTGGGGCATGGACCTCGCCATGCGCAACCGGGTCGAGGGGTTCGAAATGGCCATCGGGCGCCATTTTTCAGCTCCCGGGTTCTGCAAGAAGGTTCATCGATAACGAGGCTCCACTCGGAAGTGTGTCAACGCAGTTAACTCTTAAATTCCCAAGCGGAACGCGTCAAAATTCCCCGGCGCGCTCGAGGATCAGCCGTCCGGCGAGGAAGAAACGCGAACGGTCGAATTTCCGAGCGGCGTGCGCGCCGTTCGCGATTCCCGAGGTGCGCGTGCGGCCATTGTTTATCGGTTGAGCGCGTTTTTACGCGCAGCGACGGATCGAGGTGCCGAGACAAGCTGGCAGCCGTCGGCTGCCAAGCGGCCGCGTGAATTCATGTCATCGCACCTTGGATTAGGTGGCCGAGCGATCCCGAGGATGCGCCGCCATATCGAGATCTCTCGGCGGAGCGGGTCCTCTCGGGAAAGCTCGACGTCACCGCGGACGAGGGAAACCGGGTCCGTTCCGGCGGGGAGGGAAAAATCGTGTTCCGCGTCTAGAAATAAAATCGAGCCGAATGGCACGCGACACTATATATTTCCCCGCCGGCCCACGAACGCGGGGAATCCGTAAATATCACGGGGCTGTGCTCGCGCATTCATTCAGCGTTTCCATCGGGATTACGTTAGCATTCCTCGAGGAAACGTTCCGCGTACGTCGGGACTTCACGCTCGCGCGATGCAATTTAAATTGCATTTTCGCCGCGCGACGAGGAAATCATCGCTCGTCCGAATAAAGGCGCGCCTCCATCTTGTTCCACGCGGTTGCGGGGGAACACCGTCGGTTGGAGAACTAATATTCTAGCCGCTCCAGCCGGCCGAGCTCCTCGCGCGCCGCAGTTCCACGCGCGTGAATTAGAAACCTCGAATTAGAGCCATACGTATCTTTAGAACGTTTACCCCTTCTGTTCTACGCCGGCGGTTACCGTCTCTTTTGTTCCACGCGGCTATTCTGTCCTGTTGCACGAGCAACAAAGCACCTGATTTCCAAGAATTATAAATTTAGAACCGCGGCCGCCATGGGGCCGCGCTATTCTCGCGCGATTAGGCGCCCCTTATCACGGGGATACAGGCCGCGCGCATGGGAGACCGAGCCGAGCGTTTCGCCGATTTACGCGCGCGGACGTGGTAATTTTAAGACCGGGCCCCGAACCGAGCTGCACTGTTTCTCGATGGAACCGCCGAAGTCTGCCGAAGTTGGAGGCATTCCAACGTCTAGCTGATAGAGACTGCGCTTCCGATTTTTCTCACTGGCTTGGCTAATGTCGTTTATCAGATCGCGTTGATTATGGTCGTCGACGCTTGAATCTAATTGCAATGAGACAAGCTCTAAGAATTTTAAAATAAAATAAATAGAATAGGTTTGATAAATGCTGTCTTAACTTAGTAATCTAGTTTAGGATTTATACATTTATTTACGTTTCACTACTCGTAGCCTTGTAACCAAGACACCAAATCACGAAATTACACGAAACACTGAAGCCCCCATAGCAGTCAACGCGTTAATCGATGCGACATGAGGTTTCCGTCTAACAAGCGCCGAAAACTACAGGTTCCCGACGCGAGTCCTAGACGCTCGGGAGATTAATTATCCGCGGTTAATGAAATACGGCCGAACATCTCACTGACACGTCTCACAAAACACGCCTCCCCCCGCGAACTACACGGATCCTTACTTAACGAGACGGGGCTTTCAGCGGGCACCCCTGTAATTTTCTGGAAAAGAAGATTTCAGATGCTTTCGCCGCGATAACGTCACCGCGAGCGCGGCTCGCCGGCCGGGCATCGCGTGTCTCCGTAAACAAACTGGTCCCGCTTCCGCTTCGGGATCCGGCGCGGGACGCACGGCCCGCTTCCGTCACGCGGACCCGAGTTTCTCGCATGCGTCGATCGCGCGTCTCGCGGTGCGGGCCTTTCGTCGCGACGAAAGTAAAACCGGTGAAATCTACGTCGAACTGCGTTAAACTTTCGCAGATGAAGATTGTTTAACGCTGAAACTACCAGAGTGAGAATGTCCCATTGACTTCTTCACTTTCGAATGATTGAAGAGAACGGGTGTTTGAGAAATTAGTTGATTTAGCAATACGCAAACTGAATTGCAGATGAATTAATGATGGATGTTGGAGCTTCATCTACGTCGAACTACGTTGGATCTTCGGACGAAGATTGTTTAACGCTGAAACTACCAGAGCGAGAATGTCCCATTGACTTCTTCACTTTTGAATGATTGAAGAGAACGGATGTTTGAGAAATTAGTTGATTTAGCAATACGAAAATTGAACTGTAGATGAATTAATGATGGATGCACTGTTGGAGTTTCTATAGAGAAATTTCAGAAAGTCTGACTGCTTGGTAGCTTTAGTGTTGAAGTATGTAGAATCTTAGAAGTTGATTTAGCAATACGAAAATTGAATTGTAGATGAATTAATGATGGATGCACTGTTGGAGTTTCTATAGAGAAATTTCCAAAAGTCTAACTGCTTGGTAGCTTTAGTGTCGAAGCATGTAGAATCTTAGAAGTTGATTTAGCAATAAGCCAACTGAATTGTAGATGAATTAATGATGGAAACTGTTGGAGTTTCTATAGAGGAATTTCAGCAAGTTTAACTGCTTGGTAGCTTTAGTGTTGAAGCATGTAGAATCTTAGAAATTGATTTAGCAATACGCAAACTGAATTGTAGATGAATTAATGAAATCTTCTGCAAATTTCGGTAAATTAGATATTGAATGTTTGAACAACAGAGAATGAGGAAACTGTACTGGTTTCTTGCTGTTAGAATACTTGAATCATCTGTCTGCAAGTTAGTATTCGTCTGCATGGTTAATTGTTTAGGAAGTCGCTAAAGAAGTTCCACGAGATCTCCAGAGAACGGTAGGATCGGCGACGATCGTTTGAGCCGCTTCCGATCGGAACGACGACTCCGGACGTTCCGACGTCAGCGGTGTTTACGAACGTGCGGGCCGGAATTTACATCTAAGTCTACACGAAAATAACTTGATCCCGGAACAATAAATACAATCGCGAAAATATCGGGTATAATCCCACTCGATCGGAGATGATGATGATGATGCTGGGCGTCGAGGTTATTTCGAAGCCGAGGATTCCTCGGGTTTATAGTGGACATCATTGTATACCGACTAAAGCTTAGCGCGTTGTATATAAGTTTCTCGGAGTCTATTTTAATACGAAGTTGATAGAATGTTTAACACCGCGAATGCATCTGTTTAGTCTCCGGCGACTGGCCCACAAAGAATGCATCCATCTGCATAAGGATCTGCATTCTATTAGTAACACGGCCCATAAATTCGGGTTCACGCGCCGCTGAAAATACGCCCGCGAATATTAGGTCGGACCATAAACAATTTCCTCCGAAATTCGTATCCACTCGAAACCATCCGTCTCGCGGTCCAATTAAAACACCGAAGAAAGTCAGCCGTCGATGCCAATGAAAATACCTCGTAAAGACCATCGACATCTGAATCCCAACAATATCAAATCATCTGAATCCCAGAATACACGAGAAACATCTGAATCTAGAAATCCAGCTAAAATTCCAAGCACCCAGCTCTCGACTCCCAATTTCCTCGACAGCATCGCCGATCTATGGACACCTTTCCTAATTCCAAAGGTGTCTAGAGATCGTGGATTCTGTCGAGGAAGTCGGAAGTCGGTTGGAATTTTCGCTAGATTTCTAGATCCAAATGTTTTCCATATTCCCCGGAATTTAGATGATTCGATACTGTTGGGATTCAGATGTCGATGGTCTTTATGGGTGTGAGGTACTTTCATTGGCTTTTTATTTTACTGGTATTTTTATCCTCCGGAATTTAGATGATTCTGTTGGGATTCAGATGTCGATGGTCTTTACGATCTACGCGATTGCGTCAATCGTTAAGCCTGACGATCACGAGCACAGTCACTGATGAACAGAGGAAGGGGTCAACGAAGAAGCTCGTCCCAGATGGTGTACAGCAGGGCCGAGATATTTAATGGCGAGCGGATCCGCAACTTCCAGGCCGATGCACCACGAAACGAAACGAAACGAAACGAAACGCGGAACAAAAGGCGGCGGCACTCGGGGGCCCGTATCAGAGCGTTACCGGTCGGCCACGATGCGCCGGATAACGCACCCGTGAAAGGAAGATTCGCACTCACATTCATGTGGGGACCTCGGCGGAGGCGATTTCTCCGGTTTTCCTCGGGAACTGGTCGTCACGGTACTGGCTGCTTCCGACTGCTCGGCGGCGCTCGTCTACAAGGAGCTTGTTGCATCGCCACAGCCGAAATCTATTTCCGTAGCGTGGCTGCTGGACCGGTGCCACCGTTTTACACCGAAGTCTCCCCGTTCGCGTAAATATATCGGGACGCGGGGCCGCTAAACGCTGCTAGAGCTGGCACCGCTCGGCGGGCCGGAGGAGCTACTCGTCTTTTGAACGAGACGATATCGTTGTCATCGACATCTTTCTTCGACGCGCCACGAATCATCGTCTTAATCCCCGGTGAGGTTTTCACGAGTTACACCGGGACGTTTCAGGGGCAACGGATCGTTCGGGAGAGTCTTTGTTCGGGTTCATTCATCTTGATCGATGTTGAGCAGACCGACGCCTCTGCGGGACCGTATCGGTACCGTTTTCGTCGATTAATTATGGGATCACTATTATTATCGATGACACCGCTCGAGTGGACCCTCCAGAGGTTACGTAACGCCATCGTCGACCTCGTTGAATGCTGAGCGGAGTCGTCGCATCCGATTCGTCTTATCTATGCTCTACTTGTGGATGATCGTTATTTAGCTGGTGACGATGCTGCTACCGATTAACCTTTTGTGGACGTTGCGTTTTGAGGACGTTCATTTTTGAAGGCTAAGCGAAATGATTGACTGGAGCAAGTAGCACGTTTCGTTTTCTATTAACACTAGGTTTACATTTATTGTACACTTCGTTCTATTATTCCTAGAAGAATTGATGCTCGTTATTTAGATTGTGGAAACTGGAGATTTGATAGTAGGTAATTGTTCCGTAAACATAGTGTCACGCGTTCCGTAAACCTAATGTTAACTAGTTGACATAGTTTAGCTTCTGTTGAAGGTTTTGTATATTTCGAAGAATCTTTATTAAGGGATAACAGTCAATTTTCTTGATGTAGGTGTTTTGTAGATTGAGGCAAAGAAATTTTGTTACGAAGCAAGTAAACTGCAAAGGCACAAGGAATGAAGACTATCGAGCAAAATTCACGCGGAAGTGTAAATAAAATACAACGAACGTCTACTTTAACACTTTGACTGCCAAGTGAACACTCGTCAAAACTCCCATGTACTCGAAACAGTTTTCTTCATTAACCAGAAACTAAGAAATCAAGATTCTTGGTAACAACTGCTCTACTATCTTTCTCATATCTCATCTAAAAAAATTCGGTTCCTTCGACACGTTACGAAGAAAATTCGTATTCAAGTTCACGTGAAGAATAGCGTCGCCCAAATTTCGGTGACGTGGCAGTCGAAGTGTTAATCGCGCGTCCCGGCGATCGCGTCTCTCGCGGCTATTAATTCGAGTGCGCGCCTCACGGTTAGCCCCACGGCGCGGCGCGTCATTCATAAAAACGGAATGGACGGTTCAACGAAAGTAAGAATCGCCCTCGTCAGCGGCGAGAGACGGGGATTCCTTTATTGGCGAGGAGGAAAAGAGTACGCCGGGGGAAAAAAACGTCGGATGCCAGAAAGGTGAACCATTCAGGCTGGAAGTTACACAGTCGTAAAACTAAATCCAGCAAGGTGTAATTATATGCGGACTGTTGCCGACTTATATTTGCATCTGTATTATATCCACGTTGCATCACCGCTTACAACTCGCTTCCCACGTGCGCGCGGTCGCGTACGGGCGTGGGCCACCGCTCCGCTGGCCGAGCACGCGAAAACTTCGACTTCTCCGCTCGTTCCGACGGTTTTTTCCTTCGCCCGGCGACTAGGAGGAACGCCGCGCGATTTACTAAATCGAGAGTGCACGCCGGGCTGCCTACGCGACCCGCGGTGGCTTGGATCCTTGGGAACGTGGAAAAATGAATTCTCCTTGCCGCAGTCTTGAGCAGTATTATCCTTCGTTCGTTGCTTATCGTGATAGAGTATCTTGTATCAAAGAACAGCGACACAGCACGGTAAACCTGTGGAACTCTAGAATTCTGGAGTAGTGGAACAGAATAGTAAAATTGTAAGATAGTAAGATTCTGAGATTGCCAAATAGAAGAATCATGAAAGATTGTAAAATCGTCAAATGGAGTCGAGGTAACAAAGACCGAGCCATTTAAACACGAAATATATTTATTACAAAATCGTAGGGTTTAACCCTCTTTGGCCGAATTTTTGTCCGCAAGTATAACAAAATCCATGCAGTACAAAATTAATAAATATCCACATATGAATACGAATTAACAATATATTCAATAGTTTCCATAATTTCATCAAACGAATATATTTCCTGAATTTCAAGTTACAATGACAAATCACGCCTGGGCGTATAAAAGTTGCAGTTAATTACTTTCATTACTTCTTTCGATTACTTCATTCTATTCACCACTTTAAGTGCAAAATGAAATAAATCAACAAGATGCCAATATACTGATATGACTTCAAAGTTACATGGGCCCACAGAGGGTTGAAAATGAAAAAAAAATGCAACGCACGCCGTGGCGACCGCGCGGAATGCAGCCAAGAAAGAAGAAGAGAGAGAGAGAGAGAGAAGTTCTCCCGCGTATCTCAACAATTCATTGAAATAATTTATTGGGACCGCCGTTGCCGCGCGCCAACCTGCTTTTCATCCGGATGGAAAAATGCCCGCACACCTACGGCGCGTATCGCCGCCCGTGCCCGCTCTCCCGGTCGGAATGATCTCATTCGAGATATCGGGGACCGATATCTCGGTATGCCGGGTGAAAACAACCATAAGCAGGTTGATGGAGCTGCGGACGCTTCCTCCCGTTGGGCGTAACGTTCATTAAGCGGGCATTTTTACGCCATCTCCGTCCGTGTAATTAGCAGTACCCTCGATTATTCATTGTTGACGAGCGTCCCGGGTCCGCTGCAACTCGAAAACGAATGTTTCCTTCTTCGGTCAGCGATTGTTGGTCGTTAACCCTTCGCAGGGCGGAATTCCTGCGACCCGAAATGAAATTTCGGAAGAGTTATCGGAGATACGCGAAGAATATTAGAGTTTGAAATTGGATGAACCGTGTTTCTCATCGATTTCTGATGTTTCTTCAGCTGTATCGTAGATTGTGGAGCACGAAGAGGGGGAAAAGAGTACAATGTTCGAATAACGAGGATCCGAGTAACGCGAGATTCGATCCGATCGCGAGATTACACGGAACCGAGGAGCGCAAGGCAGAGGCGACGCACGGTTTAAGAGTGATCGCCGCGAGGATATCCTAAAACGGTGTCCGACGATCTCGGCGAGCTCGCAACTCCGCTTTCTTTTTTCCCATCACGTATCGATCAGCCGCTCGAATGAAAGTAGTGAATCGGGACCGCGTTCCAGCGGGTCCGAGAAACCGGCGGGGCCTGGAACAATCGTAAGATCCATCGGAGTGTCTCCGCCCAAGTCTCCGCACCTTCCGACGCTGAAGAAACGAGCGGAAAAGGGAGAAGGCGGCTCTGGTCAGCTAACTTTCAATGAAATCGCTCGTCGAATCGTCTTGCCGTCGGAATCTGAAACAATCCCGAGATCTGTTGAAGTCTTCGGTTCCCGATGGAGAACGAGAAAAAATAAGAGAACAGCTTGGGTCAGCGATGTCTCAGATTAACACTAGAACTACCGAGCATTTAATACGATTGATATGTAATCTCTATAAAAATTGTAACAATAGATTATTTTCAGTTTCTTTGGATATACATCATAGTACCCAAGTAAAACTATTTATTTCCAAAATCATTTCAAATATTCTGTGAAACAAACAAATCGAAACCAGTCATTTTGACTGGTACGGTACTTCCAGTGTCAATCGGTAGCGAAATCGCTCTGTCGACACTTGGAACAATCCTAACACTCGTTAGACTATCTTCACCCAAGTATTCCCCCAATACAGAGGAACAGAAAAAAAGGAGGAACTCAGTCAGGTAAATTTCAATGAAATCGGTCGCGAAATCGCGCCGCCATCGGGACAGGTGACAAAGACAGAAGCTCGCCAGGTGAGCGCACGTAAAAGAGTAATACCCGCACCGTCCGTGGCCTGGGTTCTCCAACTATAGCGCCACCTGAGAGCCAGCACGGTCCCTCAAAATGGCCGTCCCTCTCACCTCAGACCTTCCCGGAACGTCGACGGAAGCAGGTGGCGATATTCAGGTTCGAGCAGCTCGCGTGGCCGCCTCGGTTGGTGGCGGAGACCCAATTCCAGCGGCGGACGTGCACGGGAAAACGGTGGCAACCGGGAAACGGCGGTTCGGTGCGCGAACGTCGGGCGATCGGCCGGTGGCCGTTTTGGTGTCGTTTCGCGGAACACGCTCGCGCGCTCGGGCAGGCTCGGCCGTCGGTTACCTGGCCGAGAACTGGCCGCGGGAGAAGTCAGACACGTCGGTGGATACCTGGCAGGTGGATCCGTTCCTAGAATTCGCCGCGGTTCCTCCCCCGGCCCCGTGTCCCGCGCGTCCGCGCGCCGCGCGTATCGGTACCCGCGGCGATCCTCTCGGCCCCTTGGTGATTTCAATGCTCGGTGCGGCCGTGTCCGGGAGGGAGACAGCGCGAGGAAGACGGAGGGAGATAGGCAGAGCCTGTCCGTGACACCGTGCGCGATTTTACGAAGTGTCGTGGTATCCCGTGGCCGTAGCGACCGGTAGAAAGTAAATCGGACCGTGGGACAGGCGATCCCGAAAACACGCAGAGATCGCCGGAGAGATGCCCGGAGCCGGCCGTCCAGGCTTCCCGTGGACCACGCCGGACGCAGGATTATGAGGACGTGAGTATGCGCCAGGATCAGATCGGCAACGACGTTATCCCCGACGGGAACGGAGATTCTCCGGCGAGAAAGGAAAATTCCTCGAACGTCGAACCGGTCGCTCTTCGATCCTCTTTACGAAATTCCGCTCCAATTGCCCGGAGATCCCTTCCAGCGCGGAGATACCCTATCTTAGAGGACGTGCCTAGATCGGCTCCGCTCGGGAACACACCGGGGAAGATTTATCCCGTGTTCCGGGACGGTACACGTGTTTGACAAATCTGATGCGCCTCGGGGAACTGGTTCCCCGTGCACGGCGCGGCGAGGATAATTCGAATCTCCGGATCTCGTGGCACCGTGCGGACGTGTACTGTTGCTAGATGGAGGGAACCGAGCGGCCGATTCGATCCGATCCGAACCGATCCGATCGAGTCCGGCCGTTGAATGGAATGTCTGCTATTCACCGGTACTTTCGCGCGTTAAGTAACAAGACAAACTGTCGCAAACGCGGGAACACGCCTTGTTCCGCGCGCGGAACAATGATGCCGTTAACCTGTTGTGTTTGCGTCCGCGGACATGAGCGGCAGGGGCAGGAGAGAGGAGGGGAAACGCAACACGCCCCGGCCGTTCCGCGTCCACGTTCGGTACGTACATACTTGGTACTCACCGATTCGCCTCGATAAAGTTTCTCGTTTCTTTAACGCGTGTCGATCTTCGTGTGTCTCTCCTCCGACCGTCGCGTCGGTCGCGCGGGCACGGGGGAGAGAGCGTGTGCGTGCGCGAGCCGAGCGTAAATACCTAGGAGAAGGTGGGCCAGAATGAGGACACCGGTATTCGAGCGGGCATTATCGAGTGATAAACGACGAGAGGAATGCGATAAATTATTTTCACATGCGCGACGTCGCCGATTCCTGATACCTCATTGTTCCTCGGTCGCTTTACGATCGGTTTCCTATTTTCCGGGGATTAGATCCTCCGTTGACGAACTTCGAAAGTTCTGCTTTAGAATATTTCTATTAATCAGTCGATTTTCTATGGAAATAAAGGGATCATCGTCGATACTACGCGAACAGATCACACAGTATAAAAGCTTGCGCGATCGCACGCAATACTTCGCAACGGTTTCACCGGCGAAACTAGGATCCATCGTGAAATGTCGACAAATATCGAGTGGCTCTCGCTCGGAATTCATTAAAGGCGAAACGAGACGAGAGTTTTACAGTTAAAAACGGCGGTCAATGAGTCCCGGGCTAATGGGCGGGCGAAAACGCGCGGAACCCCGGGTTATTGCGTCTCGTCGGGATCGACGATGGCGGCCACGCGCGCCGGCCAGTGAATGAAAACCGACGGACAACCGTAATTGGAAGTGTCGCGTTTTACGGGGGGCCATTACGGTTTCCTCTCTCGTTGCGTAACGCGCCGCGATTAAAATGCGGCGGCCCGGGGTTCGCCGGTTTATTTTACGGCCGATGGACCGGGGGGCTCGCGTGCAATTACGAAAACTGGATAAAACGTCGACGGAAAAATTCGGGAACGCCCCGCGCGCGCGCGGCCGCCGCGATTTACGGCGACGCTCGCGGACGCCGAGCGTGGGACCACGGGGAATCGATCGGGGCCCCTCCCCCCGTTTCTTCGTTAGCCCCACGAATACCACGTGAATGAACGCTGTAGCCCGTATAAAGGCCGCCGTTCAGCGGCGACAACTTCCGGGTGCGCTGTGTCCCCCTTGATGTCGCTCCTGAAGAACCGACGTCGCCACGGTGGCTCCGCTTCAATTTGAAAGTCATTCCCCTGGTGGAATGTTTCCTTTTTTCACTCGATCTCGACGCGGGATTTTTTTAAAATTGTTACGTTGAGGCTGATGGAGATGATTTTTAACACTGGAACTACCGGACGGGTTGAGATGATTCGTTTTGGGTGTCTTTTGTTGCAATTGTAGAAAAGGAGACGATTTTCGGAGAAATTCGGTAAATTGATTTGAAGTACAAACTAGGCTCCAATATTGCACCAGGAATAATATTAGATATTTGAATGAATCTCAAAGAAACTACCCTACAATTATTAGATTTTTCACACATCGAAATTTTGCACTAAGGAAAATAAGAGATTTAAGAAATGTTACAGCATTTTTCATTTTCGCTAGGGATACTATAAAAATTAGTTACTGATAGATTGCAAAACCATATGGAGTGCTAAGGGTTAATAGATGTGTTCATAAATTTTATAAGGAAACAGAATAATCAGTTTTATTGTTTGGTAGTTCTAGTGAAGCATATTTAGTTGATACAGTATTTCAAGGGAAATAATGAAGTTTCGTATGTCGATTTGAATGTTCAATGTATTTTTCAGTAGATAATCGTAACAAGATTAAATTATACTTTCTAAATGAAAGAATCTAGTGTCCACTAACGATCAGTTTGGTTATTATCGTTGAAGTATTTCGGAGATACATTTGAAGTTGCTCGTCCTCAACGTCGCCAGAACGTTGTCCCGTGTCTCGCGAAATGCTTTCTCCGAACATGGCGGCGCGTGCTCGTTCTCCGGAAGAGGGACTTTCCGCGCGCGTTTCCTTCGGCACGGATTTTGTCGTGGCTCGCGATGGAAATCGGTTGCGCCGGGTGGAAAGAGAGAAAAAAAGGAATCAGTGCGTGTCCGGCGACAGGTAGAGAGGCAGAGAGATAAACGAAGAAAGAAGTAACGCGGTTCGTTGATGCGTGAGAGGGACAATCCAGCGTTTATTATGGTATTGTTGTGCATGGTCGCTGACTGTGTGACGTAACCGTCGTCGCTGGTATCGTCGCTGGCGAACGGAACCCGCGAACTTATTGTCGTCGTCGTGGTCGTCGCGGGAAAAGGGAAACTCCGATCGGTATAACGGTGAAACCGAAGTAACAATTTCCAGAAAAAAAATGAGTCATCGATTATTTAGAAAGTTTTCACGTTACGTTCGAGTTCGCCTCGGGCAAACAACGGACGACGATACTCCTCTCCTGCCCCGGTTATTACGTAACTCCGCGATAGAAACGAAAAAAAACCAACCCCTCGACCGGCGATTCCTTCCCAGATTGCGCTGTTAATTACCGTGAAACAAGCAACACGTTCCTATTTATGAAAATCCGACGCGAGCTCCTCGTCGATGTTCCACATTGTGAAACGAGGTGACGCGAGACCCGGGGAACAAAAGGGAAACGCGTCTTTACATGGAAAACGGGCGTCGACGATTAACGGGGACGGTCGATTCGCGCAAAATCCACGGCGACCGCGCCGGGGCCCGCGAAATCTGTTGCAATTACCGTTCGCCCACTGCGAAAAGTATTGGCAACGCGATCCGTTGCAACAGCCAGGAAAGTGTTGGCGGCCGGCCGGTCACGTATACATATATTTTTTTAATAACGCCGATGCGTTTCCCTATCGGCCGAATCGCGATCGTATCGCGACCCGGCCTGCGCGTTTCTTTTTTCCCTCTTTTCCCTCTTTTCCCAGACATCCTGCGAGGGTAATTATTGAGAGTTAGGAAACGGACTCGGTCTGATTCGCGCGCGTTTTGCATTACGGTAATTACCCCGCCAATTAAACCACACGTTTCAACCGGGCCCGGCTGTATCGTTGAACTTGTGAAACTCTTTCTTCTCCCCACCTCCCCCGCGTTTTATCGCGGAAGTGGAGGGACATCAAAAGTCGAGCTGAGCTGCTCGCGGTCTAATCGAGCCCGCCCGCGGAAAAACCTTCCGCGGGATTACTCCGGGCGACTTGATTCCGATGCAAAGGCCAGATTTCATTTTCTTTTCCCCCTGCTCCTTTTTCGTACCGGGCACGTTCGCCGAAGAGCTTGTTCAACGGGGAGGACCGCGGATCTCGTACTTTAATTTTCGCGTTAAGTTAATTCCGCAATTAAAGGCGCTCCGTTGCGGCCGGCTCTTTATACGCGGAACGGAAGCTGCCGGCTAGATTGCCGGGAGTAATTTAAACTTTCGGTTAGCGTGCGACTGCTCGTTGCGGCTGTTGTCTTCTTCTCTTAATATTGTTGCAACCGTTGATGATTATCTCCGGGTTTTCACTTTTTTTTTAGTTGTTACCGGATAAAGGGGGATCGCGGAGAGGATCTGATAGCTTTATCTATCGAGGGAATTAGAATAGAGAACGAATAACCCATTAGGATAGGAAATTTAAGTGGACAGATGTCGAAGATCTAGGATCTTCAGCCGAAGAAAACAGATTTCTATTCCCATCGCCCGTCCAACCCGAAGAGTCCCATTCCATAATCCTTTCATTACCCCGGTAAAAAGCGGCGATCTATCGGAGCCACGGCGAACGGGAACGTCGGAATCTCTACTTTTCCCTGTCCGAAGCGAACAATCGAGATCGATGTCCCCCGATCGGTTAAACGATCGCGAATCCTCATTGCCACCGCAGCACGCCGCCGCCCCCGTGGTCGGGTCACTTTCTAACGCATTCCCCGCGCACTTGGCCGCACACGCGCGCGCATCTCGCTCGGCGATCCGCATTCTATCTCGACCGGCGAGCTCCGGACGCGTCGCTGAAAATTTACGATCCTCGGGAGTCTCGGGTCTTCTTCCTTGATCGACGACCGATCCCCTGACTCGGCTCGAGGAAAGGCGATTTCCGATGCGTCCCCGATTGTTCTGATTCGTTGCTGTTTGCCAAGGTCGCAGCTGGTGGCTACCAGAGCGAGGTGCAACGCCGACTGAGGACACAGACATCGAGCAGACCGAGAGGAAGCGAGAGAGAGAGAGAGAGAGAGAGAGAGGTGTAACAGGAGGATCGTCCCGTGAACCATGTACCGGCCGAACTTCTACGAGAGCACGTGTCTGAGGTGCGCCCAGACCGTCTACCAGGTGGACAGGGTGGGCCCGCTGAAGGACTTCACGTTCTTCCACGCGGGCTGCTTCAAGTGCGCGATCTGCGGCACGAAGCTGACCCTGAAGACCTACTACAACAACCAGCACACGATCAACGACAAGGAGGTCTACTGCAGCAGCCATGTGCCCAAACCGGGCCCGGGCACCTTGGACGGGTCCAGCGTGGGCATACGGAGCGCCCTCAACGTGCCCAGGAGCGGTTACGTCAACGAGCAGATCAGAGCCGGCGGTGCGTCACCGCGTGGAGTCTATCCACCTTGGTAAGGGGCCTTTTCATCAATGTCTATAGCGTTCGGGCCGCGTACCCAGGGTCGAATTAGGTAACTTTCGGAGGAAGCATGGTTAATGTGATGTTGTTTGTGTAATTTTTATGGGCGAGTACAGTTAGAAAAGATTTAGCGGTGCGAGTAGATTGTTTATTGGAGATTTGAGTGGAGATAGTCGAATGGTTGAAAAGGAAGGTGAAGTTTGAAATACGAGGTAGCTTCGTTTCGATGTATGATGGTTAATGTGGTGATACTTTCACCTCCAGAGTTTGAATGACGATCTTTGGATGATATTTTTAGGGTATTGAAGCTTGTTTATTGGAGATTTTGTAATTTGCTAAGTGGGGATGGTCGAATGGTTGAAGAGGAAGATCAAGTTTGAAATACGAGGTAGCTTTGTTTCAATGTATAATGGTTAAAGCGGTGATACTTTCATCTACAGAGTTTGAATGACGATCTTTGGATGATATCTTTAGGGTATCGAAGTAGGACCCCGCAGGGACCGTTGGTCACGGTGAGAGGCTCACGAGCGGAATTAGACTGTGTTAATTTGGTCCAGTGAGAAATTGATGGAGCCTCGACGAATGAATTAGCGTTAAGAGGTCAGCCAGTCCGATCCGTTGTTCCCGCAGCAAATAATATTTCGGTCCCTTTATTGGCCGGCACTTAGTCGATTAAACTCTAAATCGTTCGCGGATATCGGCCAGCCCGACGTAAATGTCAAGATCGGAGGCCTCGTTCCGCCGGGGAACCTGTTTATTCCGCTGAACGCCGGCTTCCTCTTTCCACGGATTTCTCATAACAGTCGGCGACCATTTCCGAAACAGGAAACACGGGGCTTCCATCCTTTCACTGTCGAAATCCTCCGTTCGTACGATTGTAACGAGCGTTCAGAAACAGACCGCGGGCGAGCCAACTTCAACCCTTTCCCCCGTTACGCTTATCCGGACGTGTTATCTGCTTAACACAATGATCCTTTGATACCGTTGTGTCTCGGTATCTCGCGGCCGCGATCGTAACAGCGCAAAAATCCTACGTTGAATGCAGCTGCGCGTCGTTTCTAGCAACGTTCCCTTCCAGCAGATACAAGGGGCTCGATTAAATAACCGTAATTGTCGCTGGGAAATTAATTGGACACGAATTACCGAGATAAAACCGATCGCATCTAGTTTATTCCTCTTCCGTCCGAAGAATCATTCCAAAGTGACCCAAGAATGTTCCCAGTGCTCCGAGAAACTGCAAAAAGTATCAAATATCAATGCGAACCACCGTGTTTCCTCTCGATCGCAGCGAAGCTCCATTAAACGCTCGTAATCGTGAGAAAATTAACTGAGCATAAACGAGTTGCTGAAACGAGTTCAATAGCTGGCGTTCCGTCGACCGTCTCTGTTCCTCTTTCGCCGTTCCCTGAATCGTTCGAAGATGATCCAAGAATGATCACGCCAGCCCGAGGAGCCGCGGAAAGTGTCGCGTTTCACGGCGCGAGAATCCGTATCTTCGAGTGATCGCGAGGGACATCCAATTAACCGCCGCGAATCCGCTTAATGGTTCCAAGGACGCGGCCATTGGTACGCAACCGGCAGCCGCGCGCCATTCGAACGGTTGCTAAAAGGCGGGAACGTAACCGGCGTTAGTTACGAAAAAGGGATCTCCCGCGGAACTTTTTTGTTTACGCCGGCACCGTGGCCGTCGTCGGGGTAGGAATTCTCACGGGTTACCTGTAATTTTCTTAATCGGATATAGCCGCGGTGGAACGACGCCAGACGTCGCGATAAAGCCGCGTTGAGCGTCGTTAAGATTCTATTCTCGTGCGTCCGCGCGCTCCTTATTTCATCCTTTTTTTCTCCCCTCCTCCGTTTTCCTTCTCGTTTTTTCTTTTTCTTTATAGGAATCGCCGGAACACGGGCGACGGCCGTGTTACGGGGAATTAACGCGAACGACTCTCCTTTACGTTTCCTGTATTTTAATGGGGTTCGAATGGTACCCCGGAAAGTCGATCGACCCGGCTCACGTTCGGTTTCACCACTTTCCCTTCGGTGTTAAATCGAGACCGCGGGACTGAGCGACGGCACGGACGACCGAGTCTCCGCGCCCGGCGATCCGGGTAACGATTTCGTTAATTGCGCGATCGGGCCTCGAAAGTGATCGACTTTTATCGCCGCGGTTAACTGCGATTTCGTTTTCATCCTACCGTCGCGACTTTTCCAATTGCCCGTTCCTCGGCTGAATTGTTTCACTGACTGACGGCCATTGTACGGTTCGATTGTTCCTAGCTACAATGAGTAGTTAACCGAGGGCTATTCTATAAACCTAGTTTCACGGGTATATATAGTTTAATACTTCGCCGAGTAAACATTCAAGACTCTTACGCGGTCGAGACAATTTCTATAACAAAGCGGGAACTAAAAAGTGATGCATCGTAACGATTGTTCGTTCGATTGGTTACTAAGAAAATTACCATTCAGGTGTATCCAAAGAACGGTGTCACCGGAATTCGGCTGGCAAAGTGTTAAGCAAACGAACGGAAGAGAAGAGAAGTTGAAGATTTCGAATTGAAAAGTACCATTCTCGGCGAATGTGGGTCAAGTTCTAACGCCGAACGAGGCTAGAAAGATCTCTAATTAGACAACCTTTTGCAGCTCTGATTCATCCGAGTGTCTTTTATTCAGTCAGCGACTCCTCAATTTGATTCTCGTCAAGCCGAACGAGGGACCGATTTAAGAAACCAGAAAATCCTCGAAAATTCGTGCTCGATCCGTCGCGGAGAGGGTCCGCGACGAGAATGGTCCCACGATAATTCCACACGTCCCTCACGTAACTCGGACGGAGTGCTCTACGTGTGTCCACGCCGCTGCACGTCGCATTTTTTCACGGACGGCGACAATTATTCCCCGCGAACACGCTCCGTTCTATATACGTGTCGCGCTCTCCGTTCGCGAGCCGGGGCTCGTTCATCTTCGTTACATAACACATCGCCGCGCTGGCCTTAATCCGCGGACGCTGTCGTACAAAGTCGGAACGGCGCGATTGTGCGCCGCGGAGAACCGCACTTGCTCTTCACCCGGAATGTCAATGGCTGACCCGATTTCGTTCGACTAACGCGAACGCGTTGTCTCGGAGAGATTCGAACGGGCCCGCGTTCCGTCGATCCTGCGCCGAAGCGTCCCTCTTCGACCGAGCGGACACCGGGAACGGGAACTCGGGACCAGTGCCGAGGGCTACCAGCACTTCGTTTAACGGACAGTTATTAACCGGCTGCTTAATGACTTACAATCCGAGACTACGCGATACAACCTCCCCGCGTCTTTTGTATCTTAATCCGTTCCCTCGAACAATGCTCCTTAAATAATAACTAGATCTTGTTACTCGATACGATTGAATAACACAGGACCACAATCGCCATTGTTATCGAAGGTTTAATTAAGAAATCTCCGTCCGTTCGACAGCTGTTACCGAATAACGCGTCAGTTCCCGGCGTTCCTTCTCTTCCAATTGCCCGACGCAACTCGACGTCTCGGTAATCGTTGAATCAGCTCCAATTCCTTGAATCGTTGATCAGGGATAATCGCGTTAATTGGCGCGGCGGACCGTTCGCTGCAGTGTCCCGGAATCCTCGGTATCCTAGAAATTCGTTTTTCACGGGGAACGTTCGAGTAACGAACGGGATTAGTTCGATCGGCACCGTTCATTGCTCGGGTTACAACTAATCCGTCGCCGCGTTTATGACGCGCGAGTTCCCCGGGGTCATCGTTAACGGCCCCGCCGATCGTGATTCATAAACTCGCGGATTTCGAGAGCGAGCCGCGCGCCGCCGGAGGACGATAAAATGGCGGCAATAAACCGGAGGAATTCTCGCGCGACGCGCTTTACGTAACGTCGCCGGCGCGCACGCGATCCGACGGAACTTTTCTCTCCTGTCCTTTAACACCGGATGTTTTCGGATTTATGTAACTGGCCTCCGGCCGGCTCGCGTTTAACGTCGGAAACGCGCGATCGCGGTGAAATCCGCTCGATAACGACTTTCGTTTCGTCCCCGCTTCCTCTTCCATCGACGCCATCGGCCGGGAATTCATCGGGACCGGATAGATTCTGGACGCTCCGCGGCCCGCTCGGTCGCGCGACGAAATCTCGGTTATTCGGTCCCGTTAATCCGCACTTTCTCCTCAATCGGACGACCTCCACCTCCAATTAATCCGGATTAACTATGCCTCGATACCCCGCCGCGTGCCGGCTCTTCCGGAGCGACGATGAAATCCAATTTATCCGCGTCCGCGTTATCTGCGCGCCCGAGCGAGCGTTGTCTATCTTATTACAACTACACGCGGCGTCTACTAACCGGCACTTTGTGTATGTTTATTAGCACTGTAACCAGTGAAATAATTGGCTGCAGGTAAACAAGTTGGACGATCGATTTTTCGTAGTAGAAAGAGAATGAAAAGGAAACGATCGTTGGAAAACCGATTAATCGGATAACACGGGATGGAAAATTAAATGCGAAGGAAAACGCGGGATTCTCGAGGAAATTCGAGAACCGGACAGTTGACCGGTTCGCGGATGGTCAGTGTTGATAATTGAAATGGAATTAGAGTGCGCAGGATGCGGGATTATTAGACTCGGCTTTCCACGAGTTAATAGGATTAAGAAGATTAATCCTCGGCTTCTTATGTATGGGCACGAGAGATTTCTTGTAAACCAGACTAAATATTAACCGGTTCCCTTACAACTCGCGAAGATGTGGAGCAGAATTTCACGCACACGAGCATTACTGAATTTTTGTGAATTCAAATTGAATATTACTCCTACGTTATCAATTATTATGCTATCTAGAATATTCCTTGAATTTTTATCTTTAACTCTTTGCACGGAGGTGACTCTCTCACCACTTGATTTCCTACAGTGAAGCTATAAAGTTTGATATTTATACTTCATACAATGCTCAATCTAAGAAATATTGACGTATAATAGCTTTGTCCGTCGATTCACGTGAATTTCTCGTCGAGTTGGTTTCACGAAATATCGTCTTCATCTCATCAGAAAATGTTGAAATATTTCTAGTGAAAAACTTCGGAGTTAATAAACTATCAAATAAGCTGTATCGATCGCAAGGAATAAATCGCAGGGGTCGAAATTCCAATCTGAACGAAGAGAAAGAATCCGCGTCCCAGCGATACAATTATTTCTGCGTTTCCTCCCTCCGATCCAGCTCGTTTATTCCGGCACCTCTATTGTCCATTACCGCAGAGTGCCTAAAACACAGCAACAAAGGTGCTGGCAACGATGTAATTAGCTGGCCGCCCTCGAAACGAGAACGCGGGCCGTATATCTGGCAGCTCCCTTTCGTCCTCGCGAGCCACGCTTGATCGTTCCAGGGGCTAATTAAAATATTCTATTAAATTTTTCCGTGCGCGGCCGGTCGGGATGAAAGGCAGAGCCCCTATGCCTCCCGTTCGCTGTTGAAGCTGCCTCGACACGACAGCCCGGATCGTTTTCTCCGTGGCGCAGCACGCAAAAGGCGTGCGTGCACACGGATTACGCGTGCACCGGAGGAATTTCTTGCAGCCGGGTTTCGCGAGCTGCCTCCGGCTGACATAAGGAGCGCGCTCCACGGGAGAAAGAGAGAGAAAGAGAGAGAGGACGAAGAAGCGAAACAGCGGGAGAGAGAGGGAGGGAAAAGGAGAGAAGGCTTCGTCGCAAGTGAATGAACCCCGGGAGAGAACGAGCGAGAGGTGTAACACATTCATTTAACCGAGACGCCGAGGATTCTCATAAGCGATCCGCGGAGCGTTCTCGCGCTGGACCCACGCCTTCTCTCGTCGATTTTTATACGACGCCTCGATCAATCGGACGATTCGTCGGTCAACGCGTATGTCCCAGTCAAGTTTAACCCTTTGCGCACTAAAGTTGCAGCTGATGGAGCTAAATTATGTATTGGTTGTTGAAATCATTGAGAAAGGAACGCTGATCTCTTGAGAAATTAACCCTTTGAGGAGGAAGATTCTTTGAAATGTGCAAAATCTTCAACAGATGAAGCTAAATTATATCGGTTGTTGAGATCATTGGAAAAGCGCTGATCTCTTGCCTTGAGAAATTAACCCTTTGAGGAGGAAGATTCTTTGAAATGTGCAAAATTTTCAACAGATGAAGCTAGATTATATATAAATCATCATCGGGTCAAAGTTCTCTATTCTTGATTTCTTCTGTTTGCAATTATGAAAGAGTTTCTTAGCGAAATTGTGAAAATATCAGTACTAAACTGAGTTGCAAACTTATTAGTTTCAATAGATCTCTTGGAGTCTACAGAGGAATTTCAGAGAGTAACTACTCGGTATGTTTAGTGTTAAATCATTTGTCAGCGACTTAGTTCGAATATGAAAATTTTGTGTTACTGACGTATCAATATTCTTCTGTAAAGGGTAAAACGTACAGATGGAAGATGAGTTGATGTAGCGAGTAGATGCAAGAAGTCTTCTAGTTTGCAGATTTCTGGTCTGATTACGAGCGATCGTATCGATGAATAGCGAATTAGCGATTGGAAGTGTTAGCGATCAGGAAGTACCAATGGCAAATTAGGTGAGAAAAGGTAACTGATCGATCAGACGCATTCCTCAGGCTAGCTATCGAAGGATCTCGCACTCGATGCTAACATGTGTCCTAGTTTGCAGGTCGATTTGGACACGTACGTTCCAGACTGTAGCTTCGCAGTGAACTGAAAAAAATTGATTTTGTTCGTTGTATTACGCTCTTACGAATGAGTTCATCAACCGAAGTGTTGACGTAGCCTACCTCTTTCGTTCCCCTTGAAAAGAATTCGTCCTGGCAGGGTTAACCGAGCCGCGATCAATTCCAGGCGAAGGATCGCGGCTGAATCATCGAGGAGAAAATGCGCGTTCTCGCGGCGACGCGACGAGCCGCGATTAAAAATCTAACCCAGTTCCCCGGCGGTGTTCCCGGAGCGGTTGCGTTTCCATTAAATACCGGAAGCCGCGTTAATGAAGCTACCGTTACGACGCATCGGCGCGTTCGATTTGGTAATAACGTTAGGCAACGCGTGTGCGTTTTAATGAATTGTTTCATCGGAATTGCGGGAACTGCGGTCGTCCACTTATCCTCATTCTTCGGTCAGCTTGTCTGGGCGTGCAGAAGACGGACGCTTGTTCCATTTGTTTGTGTCGTGGTTCGTTAATGACTTCATTATGCCGCGGATGAGTTGACGTAGGGAAATTGACGAGGATTTCTCTTGTACCAGAGACAGAATTCTAATCATCCTTTATTATTCTCTTCCAAATTCGATGAACTTAATATAGTCAGAATCTATCAAAGATTTCACAAAATAGCTTCCAAACGTCGAACTGATCAAATCAAAAAGCTCCTCGTTAACCAGTTAACTGTGTCTGATGAGTACACATCTTAGAACTTTTAATGGTGCTAACTTTTTCAACGATTATTTATTTCCTGAGACAAACATGTAATTCTTCGTTCCGCTTTAGTTTTTCGTTAGTATATATTTCAACCCTTTGCACTCTGCAGGCTCCAATATGGCACCATTTGTACTATTAAATATTTTAACGAATAAATTTAGAACTATCCTAAGATTATCTATACATCAAAATTTTGTACTAAGAAGGAAAATGAAACCTAAGAGGTGTTAGAATATAACATTCTTCATTTGTGCTAGGGATACTACAAAAACGGCTTGGAGTTAGATTAGAGAATCATCTGAAAATCATCTTTTATCGCAATGAGAGATTTTCCAAACTAAATTCCACACTTAACTTAAAGGTTCCTCCCGTGCCAAGAGCAGAATCTCGACGATAGGATATCGATCTTTAACCTACGACCGGTCGAATTTCAGCCAGCAATTACTCGGATTGACGGAAGTCTAGCCGTGTCTGTGCAGAGTGTGCCCGTTTAATTAAGTTTAATTGTAAGTCTAATTAAGTCCGAGACAGAGGACGCGGTAATCCGATATCGGGAAAGAGGCAGACCCGGGAATCCCGGCCCACCCCCGGTTATCTTGCGCGTTCGTTTCCGCGAGGCCGGGACTCCGGCGACGATCCCCAGGCCCCTGAAGACCCGTTGCATAATTTTGTTGCAGTTACGATAATGTAGACTCGCCTAATTATGCCAGGCACCTAAACGGACACGGTTCACCGCCGGCTACGAATTCGTCCCAGCGTGATTTCCATGGGAATGCCGGCGGAGGAGCGTCCTGGCCTTACAACCACCATTACGCCGGGGACGGCAGCTACCAGTACGGCAGATTCGACGCGAGCGCGCTTCACATCGCCCATGCCCTTAAGCAGACGGAACTTCAGAAGGGCTACAGCAAGGCACGCGAGAAGCCCATCGATTATTATCTGGTGAGTCATTCGGGCATAGCCGGTGAAATCATTCGTCACGGTGGCCCGCCATATTTGGAGCGGATTACCTATTCCCGCGCCGTGAACCTGCGATTCGCGGGCAACGCGGGTTAATTAGATCGATTTATTGAAATCGGTAATCTCACTTGTGTTTCTGTTCATTGAGGATGGAATGATTTTTTATTCTATGGTGTTTGTTATACTGTATTTATTTATACTGTGTTACTGTATTCGTTGCGATGTAAGTATCAAGCAGAACTGTAACTTCCTATGAAGCTATATTTACCAAAAAGAGTAATAGAAAATTCGTTGATAAGTGAATCTTCCAAGAAGTCTATCAAGAAAGTACTTTCTACTTTGAAACGACGCGCCGTTTACCGAAAAGAGCAGTAGAAAATTCGCATAACTGGGAAAATTCTCTGTAAAACCGTCGATCGGAACGATTCGGGGATCGCTGGAATAGTTGCCGACCGGTCGCCAGACATTCCAGCGGCAAAGATGTCAATCGAAGGTCCCAGCCACAATGAAATCCGGTATTTCGATCGTGGCCAGCGACGCGTGGAAATCGGCCGGCGCGATTAGCCAGGCGTGGAAAACACGGGGCAGGGACATTAGACGCGTTCGAAATGGGAAAACCCGTCGCGGTCCCCGAATTTCCGTTCGGTCGGAATGCGGGCCGGCCGGCCGGCATTCCGCGCGGCACCGGCGCGATGGCGGGTCTCGCGGATCGGCTTGTCAAGCGTGGAATGTGTACCGCGGGCGAAGACGGGCTCTACATGAAAATGAGATTGCCGCTTTTCCCATCGGGCCGGCCTAAGAAGAAGGCCGAGCCGCTAGTCGCTCCACTATCGGCCGCCGCGTTTTCTCTCAATCCGCTTTCGCGGCGCGGGACCCGGCAGAACGCGCGACGGTGGCTCTGTTATTTATAGTATTTCGTGAATGTCAGCCGTCCGCTGTGTACGGTCTTACGAAACGAAAGTAGCGTGGGCATCGCGCGGGGTCGTTTCCATCTACGTTTCTCCGCGTTGAAGAAAAAACGACGACGACGACGACGACGACGACGACGACGACGAAGAAGAAGGACAGGAAGAAGAAGATGGAGGGAAAATCTGTTGGTCCGATAGACGGCGACGCGATTTATCGGCTCGCCGTTGGGTTCCATCGCGGCTTCCCTCCGCGTCGAGCTCGAAACACCGTGTTCGATGCGGAGGACGACGGTTTTTCTTTTGCCGATCGCCGCGAATGATAACCGGCGGCCAGCGAATTTCGATTCTTCGTTTTTCGATCTGTATCCCGCATTCGAGTTTCATCGACGAGCGCTTCCGCGGATACGAGGCTGGAGTTGTAATTAATATCGGTTGCAAGTTTGACTCGGGTCTATAAAGATTTACCTCGTTATGCTCGAAGCTGCTCGAATCGGGTCCGGTGATTACGATCGGTCCCGAGGTAGTCTCGGAGTTGTTCGTACTTTCAATTTTTAATAGCGAGTCGCCGGGTAGAACCGAGCAAACGATCAAGCAGAATATTGGGTTTCTGGTGTAATCGACGGAGCAGCTCGGCGAATAAATTCCCACGATTATTATATCGGAGCCAGGGAGTTCCAGTTTTCTGGATTCTCAGCGGCATTGTGCGCCTTCCTCCGGTTTATTGTACGAACGATAATCATTTCCGAGAACGCGCGGGACCGTTAGCCGTTCGCGCGATAAATCGGCTACTTTCTACGACGCCGGGACCCTGCCCACGCGTTTTCCCAATTATCGGCCGCTCGTAAAAGAATCGATCTCTCCCGCTGCCGCGCGGCGATCTCTTCGATTCGCGGAATCGCGGATTCCTCGATCTCCGCCCGTAGATCCTCGCCTAGAGAGCCGCTCGACCGGGCGAAATTGTCCGAGAGCGGCTTCCATTCGCAAGAACCTGACGATCGCGGCACCGTTCGAGCGTGAACGATCGCAAAAATCGAAACGAACGAGAGAAGGATCCTCGCCCGGAGGATCGGCCGTGTTCCACCTGGCTCGGCCGAGTGCTGGACGCCCGAATGAATAACGACACGGTTGAATAATGATTTATTGTAACGAATATACCCGATTCCGAGACACACGTCCAGCGAAGCTGCGGGAAAAGGAGAATCAGCTGTCAGTGATCTAGATAGGGACTTAACGCGTCGGGAATGCTTCCTAATCTCGATTGAGCCAGTCAAGTCGTGACTATATTAATTATCGTATTCCATGGTAAAAGTTAACGCTTTGGAAACTCTCGCCAGAAACTCTTAACGTTCTCTGATGACATCTAGACGGTGTCTTAGGTCTAGATCTTGGCTAGGAAACTAACTCAACAAATCATATATAAATTACGAAACGGAGTTGTATTTCAATATTCCACAGATTGATAAGATGAGTACTATACTCCATAATTTTGCTTCGGTGCATACAATTTTACGCAAACCTTCGTTAGAGGAGACGATACTCTAAAGACAAAAGACTCTTGCTTTCCAGAAACTTTTCCGAAGTATCTATCAGTAATAGAAACAAGCAGTTGTCACACAGATTCAGTAATCAAAATTTACTATACTCCATAATTTTGCTTCGAGTGCGTACAATTTTACGCAAACCTTCGTTAGAGGAGAAGATACTCTAAAGACGAAAGACTCTTGCTTTCCAGAAACTTTTCCGAATAATCCATCGCAGTCAGCTGTCACACAGATTCAATAATGAAAATTTGGAAGCCAAAAGTCGGCGTCGCACCATGACCGACGAAGTCGCTCCGCGAGAATCCTTATCCGCGGCGAATCAACCCAAATGGCGACTGGTTATCCGACGCGAGGTTTCGCGCGGCCGGTGACTTTCCTGGGGCATCCGGCGAACAATGCGGCGAACGTCCTCGCGGAACATTATTCAAACTGTTACCACGGAAGAACGCGTTTCGCCGTTTTCTTTCTACCGTTCCCCGGGGAGCGCACGCGAAGGAAAGCTCGCGCGCGTAGCAAGAATCGCTTCCGCTTGCGGTACTCCACTGCACCTGATAGTTAATTAGAGGATCGCCGAGGCCGAGGCGAAGCAGCCGCGATAAACCGGAGAAAGAGGGAAAGAGTGGGCTCCGGCGTGTATCCTGTTAAAGAGCAATTGTGGCTCGCGTCTCACGCGAACAAACGATCCGCGGGCGATCGCGATCGAGCGCGTGGATCGCGGAACAGCCCCGATCTGTGTTATTCTTACTTTCTTTCATTCCGTTTTTGGCAGGGACTCCGATCCGCGATCACGCGTCGCGGAAATCCAGCCAGATGACTCCTTAGATCGCTCGTTCGATAAGGCGATTCCAACGAGCCGTCCGCGGTATAATTAGGCGATGACACAAGCAGTCATTAATAAATCTGACGCGTTCCCCGCGAAAGCGAAGCCGTTCGCCGCGTCCAGAGTTTTCCAAGTGAAAATAAAAACAGATGGCGTCGCTGTCATTACGCTTGATCGACACGCAACGGATAAACGCGCGCGCACGCCGGGTAAAAGTTTCGGTGGAATCGACATCACGAATCGTTTACCTCGGACGCTCCGGGAATTAAACATGGCGGGCCTCCGCTCGCGGGGAAACGCAAACAAGAGCCGGAGGAGCCTTGGTTAACCAGTCACGCGACGGAAAATCAAAGGGAATAGCTTCCCCGATGACGCGGGCAAACAGATTGACCGAATTAATCCTATTAGCGCGCTTTCTCGTCGTCTCGAAAGCGTACGGGGTACACTCGGTTGGCCGCTGGTTTGCGGCACGGGAATTCGCTGCGAGATTCGCTGCGCAAACAAACGGGCGGACGGCCGACGATCGCGAACCGAAAATTGGAAGCGTAAACGTCGGACGATGATGATTCCGACGGTCGTTAACGGATCTTCTTCTGGGGGATGGAGTCGCGATCGCACGCTTCGCGGGACGTTGCGTCTCAATTAGACGCAGTTCCACGATCCGAGGAAACTATCGGTGAAATTAGATCTTCGATGAACGCGTATTCTTGAGATTTCTCGCGTAAACCGACGCCGTTGGATTTAGCGGAACAACGGTGGCGACGTGGCTCGGTCATCGCGTTTCATGAGCTGAACAATTCCCGGCGAATGGATGGAAATGTCAATGCTCTCTAACATTGTCCTTATTCGCGGTTATTTCACGCAATAACGTGCACAGCCGTGACGTAACTGTAGCGCGCGGGCCTCTCCTCTGTTTGCGCTCACGCGACCGGCCGCGGCGGAAATCGCTTGCGCAATGAAACGTCGAATCCGAGGCGGTTCGAGGTCGCCGGTTTCCCGAGATTCCTGGATTTCCCGGCGCGCTTCTCTCGCCGTTTCCCGGCCGAACGACGTGGGACGGATTAGAACAATGGAGCGCGCTCCTTCGTCGACGATCGCTTCTTCAATTTGTCGCGGAACCAGTGTTTCCGGTGTCGGGGCAGAAAGAAAGCAGAGCCGCCGCGTGAAAGTAAACCCGATAAAAACTGGACGCGAACCGCCCTCGGACGGTTTAGGTGCGGCCTCCGCTTTTTGATAGATCGAAGAACGCGTCCCGGTTCGATTGTGCGTCGTCCGCGGTGAAACTCGTTTGGTCTAGATCGTGTGAATCATTTCTCGAACCGAGGTTCGAGGTTGTCGAGAGGAGAGTCATATTTTAATTCGAACATCGCGATGGAAGATCACAGTCCCACCACTATTGCAATCTTTCGTTTGCGTATTAGAATTTAATAGTATTTATTACACTATGACAATAACGAACATAATAAATATCCGTAATTATTATCACTTAAATCTATATTCTTGGTATAATTCTATTCTGAACGTATGAAATCTTCAACGTCCTGAGAATCAACTAATTAACAATGAAATTGCTTTTGTCGTCCATCATCGATTACAAAGCGTCGAGTTACGAATGTTACGCTATTTATATGAATACGATGTAACTGATAAAACCAATTACATATCCGTTTACGATTTCCAGGACCGAGACGAACAAACGCGCCTCGAGATGAAGCACCGCAAAGAGGAGGACGACCTCTACAGGAAATTCGCGCACCATCGCGAGGAGGAGGACAGGAGGATCCGCGAGGAGTTCCGAGTGCGTATCTCCAATTACCTCCCAGCGATCGCCTATCATTAGCGCTCTCGCTGATTAATTAATACCGCTATATCGGGACCGTGCAATACTAACTAAGTCCGCGTTTCACCGGCGTTGCGCAGGACGAATGGGAGAAAGAGCTGGAGCAGCTGTCGGCCAGATGGGAACGCGAAAAAGGCGGAAGAGTTCGAACCCAGCAATTCCAGCAGGAGAAGGAGGACCTGGAGAAGAACATGACTCTGCGCAGGGACAAGAAGAAGGAGAGTCTCACGCGCAAAATAATGGAACACGAACGGTACTCGTTACCTAATTAAACCGACTCCATGCCGCGCTCGGATTACCTTCGTTAAAGCCGATGAAAGCGTTACAATGTTGCCCCGACTGACTGACACAATCCGCTGCGCTCCGCGCTTTCAACTTTGCAGTCACGGAACGATGAATTCTCTGTTTAATCTGGAACCGATTAACATCCTGCGCGCGGACCGGGTGTTCCGTGTTTCCCGCGTTAATTTAGGTAACGCGGGCAACTCTAATAGCACCAATTCGAAATCGACATTGCCGTTTAGTTAGAATGATCGGTTTATAATTCGGAATCTGAAGATTCATACTTCAAAGAATCCTCATCCGCAAAGCGTTAACGCGCCGCAAATCTTAACACATTGAGCGACTTAAGAGACATTTAAATCCTTCATTAGCTTGTATCTGATCAATGAGTAGCCAAAAAAAATATTCAAAACACTATACATTTTCGTAAAATACATTTTAATTGCACATTTGTCAAATCCAGAAATGGAAATCCAGAAATCCGCATTATTGCGGGCCGGCGCTCAAGCGACACACTCAATCCCGCGTTTTCACAGGCCGGCGCTCAATGTGTTAACGCGAGTACCTAGACAATCCAACAAATCCCGAAACAATCAACAATCGTTCACCGACGAAAGAACAATCCTTAAAAACGGCCAAGACCGGCGAAGCTCGACGCTAATGAAATCTGCATAATTCATTCGCCGGCGAACCGCGTCGAAACTTCCCCCGCGAGGCCGGTGACAGCGCATTAACGCAGCGTCTTGCGTAACACTCGGCAACCCGCAAATTTGCAAGGGTTCATCCGGCGGGCGGCAGGGTTACACGGTCGACGAGGTGCCGCGGTCGCGGTAATTAAAATCCGCCGCGAGATTGTTAGAAATTAAACCGCATTCGCCCGTCCGCCCCCTCTCTCTCTCTCTCTCTCTCTCTCTCTCTGCAACCGAATTTCACCGCGATCCCCGTTAATTACGTATTCCCGTCGTTCGTGCGGGGCCGGGTCGAAGGGAACCGTGTCGAGGGGTTATTTATTCAAAGGCGACGCGGAACTTCCCGCTTTATGGGTGAATTTCGTAACGACCGGGGGGTCCCCGCCGCCGCCGCCGCGCGGTTCACGCGCGAGCCGCTCGTAACTCCTGATCAATTTCCAGGGCGGCGACCGCCGCGCTGGTGGAGAAACAGAGCTCCGAGATGCTGGAGCTGATCAATGAGGCGAGGAGCGAGTATATGCGCCAGGAGAGCCTGTATCTCGACGAGGGGGACGGTTATGCCCAGGAAGCGCCGCCTATGCCTTATCCGTCGCGCGCGCCGCCCCCGCAGCCCCCGGCCCTGGCCAAGTATCACATCTACAATGATCCTCTGGAGTTTGCTGACATGGATCAGATAGCTATTTCGGTAAGCCCGCGGCGTAGGTTCCCTTTTAACGGCGGATCTTCGCTGCAAATGTAATATCGGAGGAAGCCCCGGCCGACACGCCGCGCCACCCGCCCCGGTTACAGTGGCGGAATTTTAAAGGGCTCCTCGAATCGGCGTCGATATTTTCATATATCCGCGATACGGCTTTCCTTATCCCCCTTACGATTTCGCCGGCGCGAGCCGGCACGGCCGGTAATCGATTTACGATCCTTCCCGCGGAGGACGCGCGGCTTTCGGAACTACGGATCGGGGTTGGCTTTTCGAACAACGGGACTTTCTCTTGGGTTAACGCCACTGGGAACGAGCTTTTCGGTTTCTTTTCGATCTGGAATTGTCGGTGTTGGATAATGAGGTGATGAATGTGGACACTTAAATGTCCAATTTTTGTACAGTGGCTCGGAAGACAATACGGTCAAGACCAATTGATATTTCGATATTTGGAGATTCTGATGGAATAAAGGAGATTCTCTAAAGTTTCTTCGTTTTTGCTAGGTCAGCCTGCTTTTTATAGCTTCTGAATATGTTGTCAATTTCAGATAACGTTGATTTTCTGAATTTCTGGAGTTAACCGCGTTGGCTTCCGAGCGTCCACGTCGATCGTACCGAATACTCGGTCGTTCCAGTGTTAACTTTCGGACAGAAGTAATCGTTATTATCGATATAGTGTCACGTTGAAGCGGTAAGAAGCTGAGTTAAAGTGAACACAACGGGTTTTCGAGTGATCGTCCAGTCGTTCCGAAGGATTTATTGCGCAAACATCCGCGCGGGGGCAACGTAGATTAGGTGCAGGGATTGACTAACCGATCTTCACACCCGTTTTTCGCTGGCGATAAATCAGGTGGCCCAGGAGGATCAGAAAACGTTCACGGACCTGGTGCGGCAGTTGGTGAGCAGATGCGGGTCGGACATAGAAAAGGCGAGGACGATATTCCGATGGATCACCGTGAAGAATCTGAACACCATGCAGTTCGACGAGAATCTGCGCGGCGACACGCCTATGGGGTTGCTGAGGGGCATCAAACACGGGACCGAGAGTTATCACGTTCTGTTCAAGCGACTGTGCAGGTACCGCTAACCGCGACCGGTGAAATTCCGAACCGCGAGGAAGGAGGCAGTATGTTTATTCTACGCGAAACTTTCCTGTTCACAGTTACGCGGGGCTGCATTGCGTAGTCATAAAGGGTTACAGCAAGTCTGCCGGCTACCAGCCGGGAGTGTGTTTCGAGGACAATAGATTCAGGAACAGCTGGAACGCGGTCTACGTGGCTGGCGCGTGGCGGTTCGTGCAGTGCAATTGGGGGGCGAGACATCTCGTCAATGCCAAAGAAGTTCCTCGACCTGGCCAACCGAAAGCCAAGAACGACAGTCTCAGGTGATTTTCCTGGCGCGTAACGTTAACCCCTTGGCCTATGATTTCTTTCTCAACTCTGATCGATACTACTTTGTCATTAATAATTTCTTAGAAAAAGAGAAAAATTCTAAGCATATGTTATGCCTATGTTTCCTTTTAAGTATAATAATCGGTTACAGAGGAATAATGTTTACTTTGAATTCGAATGCACTGAGTAATACATACATTTGTTGAATCACGTTGAAAATCTTCACCACGAGTCTCACTCGTTGTCGTAGGACAAGGGGTTAAGAATAATCAGCTAAGTTTATTATGTTGTAACGAATTTTACATTCTATATTTGTACATTTTAATGAACAATGTAAAAAGTTCTGGTGACGAAGAAAATTTTTACCGTGCGGACGTGAAAGTAAGATCGTCGAATCCAAAGAATTATGGAAGGTAATATAATGACACATTACGAATATGCCATAGATACGAGTACGATGACCACTACTTCTTGACGGACCCGAGGGAGTTCATCTACGAGTTCTTTCCACTCCAAGAGGAGTGGCAGTTGCTCAAACAGCCGATTTCACTGAAAGACTTCGAGGAGCTGCCTTTCGTCCGCTCGTTGTTCTTCAGGTGAACCGTCTCTCTCCTCTCGATAAGTTAACATCGAAAGATCGCCGAGTGTGAACATATCCGATGATTATTTGCTCAGTCCCAATATTGGTTGTTTGATTACATTCGACCAGAAATCAGACATTCGTGTGAATCCGCAGGTACGGCCTCTACTTTCCGGATACGAACACGAACGCCGTTATGTACACGGATTCTACGGGCGCCGCGACGGTCAGGATAGCGATGCCAGCCCACATGCAGTCGTCCCTGATTTTCCACTACAACCTGAAGTTCTACGACAACGACGGCGACGGTTACGACGGCGTGTCGCTGAAACGCTTCGTCATGCAGGTAATGACCGGGTAGATCGATCACGGTCCACGGCGAGGCGAGCATTCTTTCGTACAGTTAATTATCCGGCTGTTATTTACGCGAACTATAACAATCCAAAGGACCCGATGGTGTCTGGAAGCGGGGAAAATTGCTTAACGGTAGTTCCCCGCTAATTAATTGGCCGGAAGTGAAATTAATTAGCCAGCAGACGTTCACAAAGGGACCGTTTATACATTCATTCGCGCGGCAGCGTTTACTGTTTGCAATAATAATAACGTCCGCCAATATTGGTCCTTCGCGTGGTCTTGGCGCGCTGTTTGGATAGTCCCGGGTAGATTTTAGTCTCGAAGTTTCTCGGTTGTACCCGATTGTCCCCGAGAAGTAGTTTTCAATCCCGTCGAAACACCTTCGAATCCGCCTGTCGGTTGTTAAACGCTTAAAATTTCTCGCGTTCGCAGTCCGTCGTTGGCAACATAGTCGCGTTCCGCGTGCACGCGCCGTGTTCGGGCGCGTTCCTGTTGGACATCTTCGCGAACGCGGTGACGCCCAAGGAATATCTGACCGGCGAGCCCATGAAGTTCAAGAGCGTCTGTAAATTTAAAATCGCCTGCGAGGAGCTGCAGACAGTGATGGTACCACTGCCAGACTGCGCCAGCGGCGAATGGGGTCCGACAAAGGCTACCAGACTATTTGGACTTATACCAATTACTGACCAGGTACGTCAGTCGCACACCGAAATACCGAATTCCTCGGCTGGATCGGTTACGGCCTCTTCGACCGTTCCGCAAATCGACCTTCGAGGAACCGGGAAGTATTTCGCTGGAAATACTTAATTTCTAACTATACAAAGACGATACCTTTTTAATGAACTCGAAGAAAAATCACAAGTAGATTGAGACAAAGCTTTTTATCCGAATATTATACACAGGTCAATATTAAGTATCAAATTTTATAGTTTCACTTAATCAAGTGGTGACTGAGTCTCTCAGTGCAAAGGGTTAAAAATACAGGTGACACTGGAACTATCGAATAGGTCGAAATGACTGATTCCTAAATTCGTTCGCAAGGAAAAGGAAGATCCAAGTTTCAATTTTCATTCGAAGAACATTGCGATTAAACATTGTTCAATTAATCTTAGCACCTAGTTTCCATTTCTTATTAATTCTCTGTACATCTGTATCTTGTATTTCCCATGTACCATTTCAATTTTTCAACGAATAATCGCAGGAGGCTCTAGTGTTCGCCGGCCGCGAGCTAGAGATCCAGTTCCGCATGTCCAGGCCGCTGACCGACTTCATGGCGACGCTGCACAAGAACGGCATCGAGGAGAAACGGCTGTCGAAGTACGTGACGCACTCGATCGCCGACGACGACGTGGTGACGTTCTCGATCAGCTTCCCGGAGGAGGGCCAATACGGGCTGGACATTTACACCAGGGAGTCGACGGGCCCGACGAACGTGCCGCACGACGTCACCGGCGAGAAACACTTGCTCACGCACTGCTGCAAGTATCTGATAAATTCCAGCAAACGGAACTAGGCGCGGCGCGCGTCGTTCTATTTACACACGGAACCATTTCGCTGGTACGATTTGTCCGGTGGACGAGCTTCGCGGGGAATCACAAGGTGCTGCATCCTCCTTCGACCACGCGAACGGTGCGCGTCCTTCGGTTGGCCCGCCGAGGGATCCACGAACGACGCGAAAGAACTAATCTACCGAAAGATTAACCTCCACTTGCCAGTAAATTACCTGTTAACTAAGGATCGCGCGGGGTGCTCCGCTGTAGCCGAGAAAGTAGGTCGAAGGTATCGACGTTTCACCGGAATTCCCGAGCGTGGGGTCGCTGCGATTTTATTTAACCATCCGTCCGCGCCGCACGCCTTTTCGCCGACTGTTTCGCAACGATACCGTTGGAGAAGATTTCCGTCGGAAAAGCTTGGAGCCCGCGATAGTCCGATTTCACGGGGAGCACAATGGGTAAGGTAACGTTGTAAATATTCAGAGGATCAAACGCTCGGAGAACACGCGGCGGCGACCCGACGATTCCGTGCCGGCGCGCTACCTCCGCGTTTCTACGTAGATTTAGCAACAATAAGCTTCTAATTGTTCGAGGATAATTATCGGGGAGAAGTATCTCTAAGTGGACGGGCGTGTTGCGTCGCGGGAAGGCGTAATGAGGTGCGCGACCGCGGCCGAAACCTACTTGCGTAAGCTGTATTTAATAGGAGAGCCTTTTATTTAACTCGCTGATGATTATTTTTTCCATGCCCATTGTCGTCCGTGCTTTTTCCGCGAGAAAGAAAGTTCGCAATTATAGTTAACTAGCCGTGGAGATCGCGCGGTGCTCCCTGACCGGATTAATCAAACTTTCCCGGCCCGGTTCCCGGTCCGAAGCAATTAATCCCAATTACGCCGTTCGGCCGTTTCCATTGAATCCCGGTGAATTGCGCGTTCCGCCGTTCGTTCCGCGTTTTCGAGTGGTGCCGCCGCGATTTTCCGTCGGGGCCGCGTGCTCGAATCGCGCGGGGTGCTTCTGTGTACACGCGAATCACACGCGCGGCCGTCTCGATTTTCGTCGTGCGGCGTTCTCGCGAGCGAAAGCCACGTAACGTGATTTCGTTCTTCGAGCTCGCTTACTTTCTTCCGTTAAGTCGTCCCACGCTCTTTTTGTATTTTTCTAACGGTTAAGCGTTCCGCTCTGCTCTCCCCGCCCTCGCCCCCCTTTCTCCACGTTTTTCCGCGAGGAACGACCGTCACCGCGAAATTCTGGTCGACTACGAGACGCGACGAGACGGCGGTGGTCCTCGCTCGCCGCCGGATTTCACGAAGAACACGCAGCGACTGGAGGGATTATTTATATTCATTTATGGTCTAGAGAGCTTTTGGAATCGCGAAAGTTTTGCGGTTACGGTGGTTTTCGATGTTCAGGTGCTATATGTTATTCTGTCGCGATTAGTTGCACGAGTCTAGGTACGTTCCGACGCGAGAAGCGTAGGTGTGCTGAATTCTTTGGACACGACGAGCGGATTTATTCCGCGGGGAATCACGTGTTGCAGAAGGAAATTGCGAGAATTGTTTGTCGTGTGCGGATTTTGAATTATTTATGTTTCTTTTACGGAGCGAACTCGTTCGGCAGTCCTACGCTTTCTACGGTATAACGCTCAGACCGAACAACAATTGTTTTCTAAGTATATAGATATATATATATATATGTTTGTTAATTATTGTAATATTAATAATTCTCTTCCCTTTGTTGTTACTCGAAAAATGATTACCACGCTTGCGAGAGGAGCTTCTGTCGATCCGCATTCCCGTTACCGTGGGATAAAGTATAACTCGAGCTTATTACCCTTTCTCATTGTTTCTCTTTCTCTAACGAGCATGTAAATGAATTTTTATACCCACTACAAACACGTAATAAGGACTCGTGTTCTTGTAAAGAAATCAATGGATTTAATAAAATTTAATTTTATGGAACCACCACTGATTTATAATTAACCACCTATCAAATATTTATTATAATTCGAAAAACATATATCACAAGGGAAAACACGAATTTATATTATTTTCCATTTATAAACTTGAAATTTTAATGAATGTTTGAAAAGTTCTAAAATCACTCACTGCGCAAGCGCAGAAAAAAGCGCGTGAGTTTAAATTTGGTACCGTCAGTCAATATCATTCACTACCTTTTTTCTGTGAGAATGAATTTTTATTTATTGTTTTGACCAAGCTAATTTGTTGTTGGTACGTTATTTTAGTTCATCCGTGACGAATAGGAAACCAATAAGAAATTATCATGGTGTATTTAGGGAAATGAATATTCGCGATTTAAAAACTTTTGGACAAGGTTGTACTCGTCACCGTTGGTTGGCGCCACCGATCACTTTTCCGAACGCCGGCCGCATTCTTCGCGTCGCCATTGCCGGAGGAAGTTCCCTGCGATCCATCGTCCCTTCGATTCCCTTTATCAATATCGTGCGAGGTAAAAATCATCTCCCTTTATGCTAATTCGATTCATTTGAGCCTGGTTGTTATGTAGACACATTAATTTCCATAGGAAACAGTTGCCATTTCGTAATATCTTCGTCGAAGGATCGGTAGCACGACGGAGGCGTGCAGTGAATGTATTGCGTGGTATGTAATGCATTCTTCACTTCAATTTTTATTCAAATCTTCGCATTTTTCATGGCATCTGTCAATATTTATTGATAATCAAGCTGATATTAATTCAATACGGTATTAGTACCATTTCTATGATGCAATATTATGTCCTGGTATTGGACATAGATTTTTCAAGAGAACGAAGTCTATTTTTGTTAATATTGCTTTTAACGTCAGCTTTATGGCTCAGTAGAAGCAAAATATTTTAAGGCTTGACGTAGAACACTGTTAAATTTGAGATATAATTAATTAAGCTTCAGAAATTGAGCGACTTGGATTAGGAAGTGTAATACTATTAATATTGACTTATTTCGTTAGAATAATAACATTTACAGTTGTCTATAGTAATTAGTAAATCATACCAATATACTTCTTCGTGATAGAATCAATTATAGAGTGAAAAATGCGAAAATAATTAAACCGCAGTGAGGAAGCCATTTTGAATTGGCGGGACGGATCCGCTATTTCCCGCCAATAGGTTTAACACCTCTGCCTGCAGATGGCAGCACCATGTATTTTATTTCAAACCTTGGAATAATCCATTATTAATATCTTCAATCATTAATGAAAGTATTCATTAACTAGTTTCACTATACTACAGTCCCTTGAATTATAGAAAGTTATCAAATATACACGAAATATGTATCGTATATTTCGATGGAATTCACCAATGTGAAATGCATTTTTCATATATTCGCTTTATTATTATACAATTACGCTCAAGTAACTCTGAGTAATTCACTCACCCATTTATTAATAACGAATGAATAATGAATACATCTACATATTACATAATTGGCGTAAAGTATGCAGATAGTTTTCCAGCGAACAAAATTTCAGCCATATTAACCCCTTGCCCTGCAGTATCGTATCGGACTCGTGAAGATTTCAAATAAAATTTAACAAATATAAATGTCATTTAATTCTTCCAAGTCTGATTTGAATATTATTTTTCTGTTATTAATTATAATCATTCTAAAGAGACGTAGATGTAGAATAAGGGTAGAATTTTCATTCTTCTGTAATGAACTATGAACAATATTTATATTTGGAAAACGATTGACGATTCAATGATTTCAGCAATCGATATATAATTTAGCTTCATCTGTTGAAGATTTTGCACATTTCAAAGAATATTCCTCCTTAAAGGGTTAACTTCTCAAGGCAAGAGATCAGCGCTTTTTCAATGAATTCAACAATCAGTATATAATTTAGCTTCACGTTTTGAAGGTTTTGCATATTTCGAGGAATCCTCGTCCGCGAGGGGTTAATGCTCCTTATTTCTGCGAGTATCGACACGAACGCACGAATCGCGCGGCCATTTTCTAATTTCGCGCAGCGCACAGCCGCAGGAACTACTTAAAATGCACTCGTAATCGGGCTCGCGGCTCGCTGGCCGACCGCATTACGCTATTTTCTCATAATCGTGAAAAGTTTCGCGGTCGTACGTTTATTAAACGCCGTTTCCGGGTTGCCGCGTCTCTGCCCGCCGTCCGGCAGCAATTTTTGCCGGGTAATTCCCGAGCACCCCTCGGTTAAGAAGTAACTAGGGTTGCTGATCCTCGAGTAACCACAGTTACATCCTATCCAGGGATTCCGTCACGCACTCTTTTGGCTTCCAGTCCTGTCCCTCGCAATCACGGGATACGAAAATTTAATTTCAAAAAGAGGAAAACACGTCCGTTCCAATTTCCCGGAAATATTCGTCAATGGGAGTTAAACAATTTCAATCTACCGATGCGTTAGGAGGATTCTAGTTATTTCGCAGTTGAATGTAGAGTTGTACTGAATTAAACCAATCCGAAATAATCAGATTTGTATAGTATTCGAAAGAAAGATGCATTTCGCAATCAGGGAACACCAAATAATTTGAAAAAGAGGGAAACGTCCGTTCCAATTTCCCGGAAATATTTGTCGATGGGAGTTAATATCAATCTACCCATGCGTTAGGAGGATTCTAGTTATCTCGCAGTTGAATGTGGAGTTGAACTGAATTAAACCAATCCAAAATAATCACATTTATATAGTATACGACTAACGAACGCAATTATAGAATTAGAATTCACGTATGTCTGATCTAAACGAGCTGCAATATTCGTCAATAACATTGTACGGCTGCCTATAGGCGCCTACACCGACACGAAATTTTTCAAGCGCCTTTAGGTGTCAACGTTATCATTAAAATCAATCATACCGCAAACAATCGAAGACCTTTAGATAATAATGATCATATTCTACCAATTATCACAGAGAAAATGAATAGTTTCGTTCAACTTATAAATTACTTCAATCATTCACCACTAGAAAATACTCGAGTCGTGAATGTTTAAATGGCTGCCGTATATAATAATCGTTATACTCGAATAACACGGAGCTCCCAGTATTCGGAGCCAGGGCAGCGGCCGGTCGAGGGCAGCTCGAAAAAATCAATTTCAACATTTACGGGCAATTAATGGAGTCGGAAGCGGAGCGGCGGAGTTTATCGATTCGTCGGATGTCCATGATATTAGGATCGCTTTTTGAAAGTATAACGACCGTGCGACGTAAACCGTACATTTTGTAGGGTCGTGTACCCTTTCATCCGCCCTCGGCCGTCATTGCCGCGCGAGCGCAGCGGAATTATACTTTATAAAACAGGGTCCTCGACGCCGAAAACCGACTGGCCCCGTACGCCATATAGAAATCCACCGTCCTCCGCGCGGATTTACGATGCATATTTATCAGCAGCTTCGGTTGCAACGCTCATATTCGTTGGCCCGTGAAACGGCCGATAGGATTGCACGCAGTACCGATCGATGCACCCCTAAGAAAGTCCGGGCAGCCCTCGCGGAAATTAATTTAAGATGAACGAACAGCGAGAAGTTTCAGTTTCGAACGAGTGCTCCGTTCGTCATTTTTCTCTTGTACTCCATTAGTTCGGAACGAATTATCAGTGATATTAAGATTCCTCCGGGTATCGTTCGGACTTAACCCTCTATAGACAGAATTTTGTTTCGTGATTATAACAAAATTTATGCAGTATGAAATTAAGAAATATCAACATACGGACACGAATTAACAGTGTATTCAATAGTTTTAATAATTTCATTGAAACGAATATATTTTGTAACTTTGACGTTACAATGACGTTGAACGTAAACGCCAGTGTGTACAAAAGTTTAAGTTGATTAATTATTTAATGTCGCTCGTCATTTTGCAATGAAAAATTAGATAAATCTATTTAACCCGGTGTATTGATGTGTGACTTTGAAGTTCAGATTTGGAAGACTAAGTGGAAAAATGATCTAATTAGTCGAACAGCAAGAGATCTACACGTAGTTATCTTCTGTTCTATTAATTAAGCAGTTGATATATAATTTAGCTTCATATATTTCGAAGAATCTTCGTCCGCAAAGGGTTAATCTTCGAAATATCGAAGAGAAACATGTTCCTTTAGTTTCTTGTCTAGATAAGGTATCAGTAAGGACGCAATTATTTGTTTGCCAGGTGAGACTGCAAGGGAATCGATTTTATCTGAAATATTCATGCAACTCCCGGCTACTCTGCATCGCTATTACGCGGCCGATATCGCCGGGAACTAATTATTGAAATGGTCCAGCGAATTTTTCGCCAGAAATCCGCGGCAGAAACACGAAGGAATAGCGTCCGTCGGAGCCGCTAATTAAATAGCCACTTCCCGGCTGTCCGATTCGCGGCAACTTCCGGGACACGGAAGAAACTTTCCTTATTCGCGGAAAGAATGATTCCCGTAATTCAATCGGCGCGGGCGGCGCTCGCTCCGTGATTTATAGGACGCTAAGTGTCCTATTGTAATTGCAGATCCGGGGTATTTAGTATTGTCTTTACATTTCTGTAAGCCGGGGACAAATGAAAGAGCGATTCCGTGTCGCGGGAGCTTTAATTGCTGCGGAAACGCTGGGAGCTCGGTAGTTTAATAATTTCCCTGAAATTGAAAATTAAACCGGTGGAATATTAAACGGAGATCGAAGGTTTCGATAATTGCCGCTATAAAACATCGGCGGTCCCAGCGAAGGAATTAGCGTCACCTCGAGGTATTCGTTTCCACTAAACAAGCGTATAATTCGGCACACAGTCGGCGGCGCCGAATAAATCAGCGTTCCCAGGTGGCAAAGAAATATTCCTCAAGATCGAAGATTTACACCACCCGCGCCATTAAAATTCAGGGCCCGTGGAAGGGTTTAAATGACCACTCTCCCCGCGGGGCGCGGGGATAGTAATAGGCATTTTTCCAGGAAGGAACGTTTCAAGAAAAAATCCG